CCTGCGGTCACTTCACATGGAGTAAACGCTGTCTCTGTGCTCAGGGTTTGTACCTGCTGGAGGCGGGTAGCCATTGAACAACACGTTCCCGCAGGTGGAGCGATCCAACTCATCACACAGCTGCAGCTTTCGCACTGCAGAGATAGAGACCTGATTAGAAACACCCATTTAATCAACATGCAATTGGATATAAACCATTAGAATAATCCCAGCACAGCTTGATCTCACCCAGCGGCGTGATCCCATAGAACTCTGCCTCGTGCATTAACAAGAGAACATCTACGGACCTGTCAGAAAAACAGAGTTATGCCATCTAATACCTAAATTTGGCATTTAAACTTCAGTGCTAAATTATCTATCTCACAAAAATATAGACTTACCTGGGGTGAAGCTCTTTAGTGCGCAGAACGTTGAAAATAGGAGCAAACAGAGATGGATCTCGGTCAATGAAGATCTAAACATGACTAATATTACATCAAAACACACTCGCATAGTAGCATCTCTGTAAAGACAGATTTATGTATTATTATTTGTAGCATGTATAATTGAATAAACCTCACCGCTCCAGTCTCATCTTTAAGTGTTGATATCCGTCCACTTAATAAACTAGAAGTATAAAAAAAAACACTTATTTATTATTTAGAAAAAGCTGGCACATTATTAAATCTGTGCTAATAAGACCTATGCCAAAAACAAACAAGCAATCCATATATCAGTATGGTCAGTTATTATAATAAAACCTAATTTATGTTATAAGCACTTAAATGGTCAATATACACTGCCGTTCAAAAGTTTGGGATCAGTAAGATTTTTAATACTTTTAAAAAAAGTTTATTATGCTCATCAAGGCTGCATTTATTTGATCAGAAATACAGAAAAAAACAGTAATATTGTGAAATATTATTACAATTTAAAATAGCTGTTTTCTATGTGAATCTCTGTTAAACTGTAATGTATTTCTGTGATGTGCAGCTGTATTTTCAGCATCATTCCTCCAGTCTTCAGTGTCACATGATCTTCAGAAATCAGTATAATATGCTGATCTGCTGCTCGAGAAACATTTCTGATTATTATCAATGTTGGAAGCAGTTGTGCAGCTTCAATTTTTTTATTTTTTTTTGGAACCTTTGATACCTTTTTCGGAATTCTTTGATGAATAAAAAGTTAAAAAGAACAGCATTTATTCAAAATAGAAACATTTTTCTAACAATATAAGTCTTTACTGTCGCTTTTTATCAATTTAACACGTCTTTGCTGAATAAAAGTACTCAAATATAGTTCAAATATAGAAAGAAAGAAAAAATCTGCTGACCCCAAACTTTTGAACGGTAGTGTATATTGTTAAAAAATATTTCTATTTTAAGTAAATGCTGTTCTTTTTAAACTTTGTATTCATCAAAGAATCTTTAAAAAAAAAAAAAAAGTATCACAGGTTCCACAAAAAAAAAAAAACGAAGCCGCAAAAACTGTTTCTAACATCGATAATAAATCAGCATATTATAATAATTTCTGAAGGATCATGCGGAGTAATGATGCTGAAAATTCAGCTTTGATCACAGCAATAAATTATATTTGAAAGTATTTATGTATATATATAAAGTTATTTTGAATTGTAATAATATTTCACAATTTCTTCTGTATTTCTGATCAAATAAATGCAGCCTTGATGAGCAGAAGAAACGTCTTTAAAAAAACATGAACATTTTTACTGATCCCAAACCTTTGAACAGCAGTGCACATAAACTAAGCCAGGATTTGGTCTAGTTTAACTTTATCTGATCTAAAACACACACACCTTGAGAAAAACGAGTCAGGAACCCATGCCAGAGTACGAATAACAGATAGAGTTACATAAGCAGATGTGTATTACTGTCTGCTACTACTTACAGTAAGTGGCATAAATAAAAAGCAATACTAAAACACTACTGCAAACTAACTACTTGTTCTGAAGACTACAGTAAAGTTCCTAATGCAGAGTCGTCTTCCTCAGGTTACCGTGAGCGTGTGTTGGGGTAACGCGAGTTACGTAATCAGATTACTTTTTTTCAAGTAACTAGTAAATTAACGCGTTACTTTTTAATTTACAAGAGAATATCTGAGTTACTTTTTTTTTTCCAATTTATTGATTGACAGCTCTGGTGTCCCCATGTTGAGAGAAATCAGATGTTACTGTAGTTCTAAAATAAATATGAATATGCATTAATTCATCTCACTCACACAGATTCAGTATTCCTCAAAATGAATAAAAATAATGCAACTCAGAATATGCAATAATTAAATGTTAGACAACACAAATATCCTTTATGTATTTAATCCCATTCTATTAACCAATGTCTTTGCTTCTGAGCTTCGATGATCCAGTTCAAGCGTACTAATAAGCACAAACTACTCTAGACAAACATTTGTGTGTCTTTGTTTATTGCTGAAGTGTGTTGAAATGTCTTCTTCTGCATTCTACTGTACGGACGTACATTTACTTTCCCTTCAGCCTGAGGCGCATTCATTTCACTTTTGCTGTGAAAAGGCTTTTTTCATTTTAAAAACAAACAAGCAAGACCTGTCCAGATTTAAAAAGTAACGTAACGCATTCCTTTCCATAAAAAGTAACTAAGTAACGTAATTAGTTACTTTTTTATGGAGTAACGCAATATTGTAATGCATTACTTTTAAAAGTAACTTTCCCCAACACTGCGATATAACACGTGCTTTTATGCATTTCCTAGAGGGGAGAAAGTCAGTGCCTAGTTCATGAATTTAAAAACAGCCACGTATAATAACAGATGTATAAAAAATAACAAACATAATCCAAAATAATTTTAATAGCAGACCGAGTGCCTATTTTTGTCATGCGACATTAATGCGCCCTAGAGGTATGTTTACGTAAAAACATACATATTGATCACCTTTATTTGGAAAGGTACAACACAATTTAACAGCAAACCTTACCACTCAGCCATCAGTAGCAACAGTTATAGTACTATCACTTCCACTATCTATCCACTATCTTCATAGAGGTAATATTGGGTTTTCATAGCTAAAGTAGGGCTACTTGGTGAAGAAATTAATGCACCCAAGTATTTCAAATGCAATTTATTAGTATCAGAAGGCCTCTAACGTCTTTAAAAAAACATGAACATTTTTACTGATCCCAAACCTTTGAACAGCAGTGCACATAAACTAAGCCAGGATTTGGTCTAGTTTAACTTTATCTGATCTAAAACACACACACCTTGAGAAAAACGAGTCAGGAACCCATGCCAGAGTACGAATAACAGATAGAGTTACGAATGCATTCATAAGCAGATGTGTATTACTGTCTGCTACTACTTACAGTAAGTGGCATAAATAAAAAGCAATACTAAAACACTACTGCAAACTAACTACTTGTTCTGAAGACTACAGTAAAGTTCCTAATGCAGAGTCGTCTTCCTCAGGTTACCGTGAGCGTGTGTTGGGGTAACGCGAGTTACGTAATCAGATTACTTTTTTTCAAGTAACTAGTAAATTAACGCGTTACTTTTTAATTTACAAGAGAATATCTGAGTTACTTTTTTTTTTCCAATTTATTGATTGACAGCTCTGGTGTCCCCATGTTGAGAGAAATCAGATGTTACTGTAGTTCTAAAATAAATATGAATATGCATTAATTCATCTCACTCACACAGTTTCAGTATTCCTTACAATGAATAAAAATTATGCAACTAAGAATATGCAATAATTAAATGTTAGACAACACAAATATCCTTTATGTATTTAATCCCATTCTATTAACCAATGTCTTTGCTTCTGAGCTTCGATGATCCTGTTCAAGCGTACTAATAAGCACAAACTACTCTAGACAAACATTTGTGTGTCTTTGTTTATTGCTGAAGTGTGTTGAAATGTCTTCTTCTGCGTTCTACTGTACGGACGTACATTTACTTTCCCTTCAGCCTGAGGCGCATTCATTTCACTTTTGCTGTGAAAAGGCTTTTTTCATTTTAAAAACAAACAAGCAAGACCTGTCCAGATTTAAAAAGTAACGTAACGCATTCCTTTCCATAAAAAGTAACTAAGTAACGTAATTAGTTACTTTTTTATGGAGTAACGCAATATTGTAATGCATTACTTTTAAAAGTAACTTTCCCCAACACTGCGATATAACACGTGCTTTTATGCATTTCCTAGAGGGGAGAAAGTCAGTGCCTAGTTCATGAATTTAAAAACAGCCACGTATAATAACAGATGTATAAAAAATAACAAACATAATCCAAAATAATTTTAATAGCAGACCGAGTGCCTATTTTTGTCATGCGACATTAATGCGCCCTAGAGGTATGTTTACGTAAAAACATACATATTGATCACCTTTATTTGGAAAGGTACAACACAATTTAACAGCAAACCTTACCACTCAGCCATCAGTAGCAACAGTTATAGTACTATCACTTCCACTATCTATCCACTATCTTCATAGAGGTAATATTGGGTTTTTATAGCTAAAGTAGGGCTACTTGGTGAAGAAATTAATGCACCCAAGTATTTCAAATGCAATTTATTAGTATCAGAAGGCCTCTGAGGTTTATTACATGTAGTTTGCCCAGTGTTTCAAACTTCACAACAGTGTAAATGATGCAATTATTTCATTCTTTCCTAATGGAATTCATTTTAAAGGCAGGTTTTATGTTCATGAAAGTATTTCTTATATATATACAGTATGTATATATATATATATATATATATATATACACACACACATATATATAAACACATGCCATCCATTTATCCAAAATACAAACGCATGCAAAACTTGATGGAATAGAATATATTTAAACATGTATTATAAAATCAATATTAATATAGAATAACAAATTCACATCAGGAACATTTTGTCCCTTCATTTGAATTCCGCCAAGCCTAAAATGTACAGTAATATTCACAAAAACTTGAAATTGATCAGTTTGTAAAACAACTTAAAAATAATAAACAAAAAAATGCCTTTTTTATCATATTTGACGCATCAGACTTTTATGGCTCGTATGATACAGTAAGAATATGAAGCTCATCAAGGACGAGGAAGAACAGACGTCTCAGTTATATCCAGATGCCCAAAACTGCGCAAAAATATGCAGGTGCAGATATTTATATGGACTAAGTTAGATGGAATTCTGATGCTTGTAATGTAAATCAATGAGATCTTCATAACTGTATAACAGACTACTTAGCTTACATAAAACTACATTAATATCAGTCGTCACTCTCAAAACATAATGCAATACAATGATTATTGAGAGATGAACTCATAAACGTTCCTCAAAGGCCTGAAGATCTTATTTGAGACTCATATTTTTTTTCTAAAAACTTTCTGGATAATCAAGTAAACCTAAGCTTTGACAGCAACAAAGGTGCACACTTGTACAATTAGACTAAAAGGCCTTTACTTGTTAAAAACAAGTCTAAACTATCAATCAGACGACAGAAGGCATGGAGTAGATTGTGTGCCACAGGTTTGGCAGCAAAGTTTTGATCATGTTGATCAGTTAGAGACCTTTAAATGTGTGGAGCAGGTTAATATCTGACCATGTCCTCCTCTCAGTGCTTCAGCTCTGAATAAATCAGTGTTCACCCCTCGATTGTTTTGCATATATAAATGCATTTATTGCTGGAGTCTCTGTCATGTACAGTACTTACAGTGCTGTCAGTTCACAAACACACCAACAAGCTTCAGTCACAGGTACGTGTTCTCAATAACCACGTCTCTATGCTCATCAACACTGTGCGGCGCTGGAGAGCAGGGTTGCACACAAGCAGGACTCTCTGTCTTGGGACAGCTGGTCTTGTCCACCTGAGGGGAGCAACAGAGCTTCTCCACACACTCCTGGCCACAGCGCAAGCTGCAGAGCGACCGTCCCGATCCGCCACCGGCCGCTGCGTCGCTCCTGATGAACTCCGGCTGCACGGTGCAGTGGTTGATGCCGAAAGCGGCCAGCACTGCTTTTGTCCTCCCCATCAGATCTGCGCACTGCGCTGCGTTCAGCCCGTCCGGACAGTGAACGTGCAGCGACGCCACCATCAGCGCGTCCGACAGCTGCCACACGTGCAGCTCGTGCACCGACAGCACGCCCGGTACTTCAGTGAGCCTCAGCCGCACCTGAGCCACGGAGAGATGCAGCGGCGTCGCCTGCAGCACCAGCAGCCCGTAGCGCTGTAGCTTCGGCAGGGCTGTGGATAACAAAACCAGCACACAGACTGCGGAAAAACCTGCGTCCAGATACACCAGGAGGTGACAGTCGGAGTGAGGCCGATGGCAGTGCGCTGCAGACAGCAGGAGAACCAGACCGTTAGTCAAAACCAGGACTGAACCCAGAAGGTGCTGGATCACACCGATGGAGCCGAGCTGCTGTCTTCTGCACCCGGAGCCTTCAGGAATGCACTGGGAAACTGTCGGGTTAAAAAGAAACCAATTATACATAGTGTGGCATGTCGAAATTGCGGAATATTTCTGTATAGGGTAGAGTGGGGGAAAACGTTTCCACACTACTGTTTTTCCCAAAATAACCACTAGATCTCTAAGTCAAGATACATGTTTGTTGTAACTATGGACTGTGTTGACACGAGTGATGTAGAAGTATTCCTCGTGAAGCTCACACTGCTGATGAACCTGAGAGAGGACAGATTTCACAGGAACTGATCTAATATTCAGCAGAAAGAAGCAAGTGTTTTAAAGCTTGCTGTTTTGTGGATCATCACAGTTATATATGATATGAGAACAGTAAGGCCTGTAGATGCAGTAGGTGTTATTTAAGAAAATTATTCTTTTTTCCAAACCTAGTCTGTGGGGTAAAACTAAATTCGTTATTATTGATTATATTCTTTTTAATTCACTAAAACTATGATAACTATTCTGGACACATTTAACTTTTGTTTCACAGAAGAAGAAAAAAAATGAACCGTCCTTAAGGGGGGCTCTGCCGGTCAAAAGTTTGTAATAATTATTTTTAATGCATTTGAAAGAAGTTTCTTATGCTCAACAAGGCTGCATTTTTTAAATAAAAAATATTTAAGCATTGTGAAATATTATTACAATTTAAAATAGCTGTTTTCTATGTGAGTATCTGTTAAACTGTAATATATTTCTGTGATGCGCAGCTGTATTTTCAGCATCATTCCTCCAGTCTTCAGTGTCACATGATCTTCAGAAATCAGTATAATATGCTGCTAAATAAATGTTGTTATTATTATTAATGTTGAAAACCGTTGTGCTGCTTCATATTTCAAAAGTTTGGGACAAGAAAGATTAACAACAAAAAATACTAAATAAATTCATTTTTATTTAGTAATTATGCACTAAATTGATCAAAAGCGACAGTAACGACATTCATTTCTATATCAAATAAATGCTGATCTTTTCAATTTTCTAGTCATCAAAGAATCCAGGGGAAAAAAAATGTATCGGTTTTCACAAAAATATGAAGCAGCACAACTGTTTTCAACACTGATAATATTCAGAAATGTTTCTTGAGCAGCAAATCAGCATATTATACTGATTTCTGAAAATCATGTGACACTGAAGACTGGAGTAATGATGCTGGAAATGCAGCTTTTTACATACATTTTAACAGATATTACAACAGAAAATAGTTATTTTATATTGTACTAATATTTCACTATCTCTGCTTTTACTGTATCTTCTTAAATGAGCATGCTCTCACCGGTGGGTTCGGTGCAGGTGGAGTGATGTCGATCTTCCGGAATGATTTCCTGTGAACTTTCACTGATTCTGGAATTAGACTTTTGACTGTGACTGGACTGGACTGCTTCAGTGATGCTGTGCTCTGGTAACTCAGAAGAGCTGTGCTGAGAGCCTTGATCTGGATCCAGGACCCGAGATGCTTCAGGGTTGCAGAACATCAGTGCGTCATCCTGCAGAGCACTTCCTACAACACAATGATCATCAAGATCCTCACAGCCGTTCTGCAGCAGATCCTTAACCACTTGTGCAACCTTCCTAGTTTGGTTGTGCAAACAGATAATGCAAACAGATGGCTTCAGCAAAAGCATATACCATCGATTAACAACCTCGGAGCACACAGTAGGTCTGTCTTTAATGGTGTGTAAGTTATTGTTCAAAATCTATTCCCCAATGAAGAAAATTAATGGAGATTTTATCTCAGGTACCTGACTGTTGCACTCGCATGAAATATTGTTAAACAATATGTATATTATCTTCAAATTAAATGGCACGATTGACCAATCAGAAACGAGTATTTCACTCATAATAGATGGTTCTATTCAAACACACCTTTGCTTTCTGATGTAGAATGAGGGTCATTTCGCGTCAGACTCTTTCTGTTCCCCTCAGCAGCTTCATCAATCCCTCTGCTGCTTCTTTTCCAGGCCAAAACGAGCATATTAAATATCAGACTGGCTCCTCCAACAACAATAGACAGGAGTGGGTGTAGAATGGGTTCTGGCTGCACGACATGCGTGAGAATCTCCAGACTAATGGAGACACACTGAGATGCCATGAGCAGAGCTGAGATCAGGTTGCCGAAGGGTTTGAGACGCATCCTTCTGTAGTCCTCAGCACACGGAGGACTCGGACCTCCTGAAGCAGAGACGTTTGGACGGGATGGAGCAGCGGTCGTGGAGGGATCAGGTGAGCAGGGAGAATTGGGATGATGCTTTAATGCTGATAGAGCCAGATTTATGAAAATGTAGAGCGTATGGAAGCTGTCCACCGCGATGAGGAGGGATCTGCAGATTTGACCGACTACAATCTCAAAGACCAGGAAGCACAAAGTCAAGACCAGCGTGCAAATGCGAGTAGAGCCGGATATCCTCGCCATCACACCTGCACAATAACAACCAGTGATATATTTTAAAGTCACAGTTAAAGGGTTAGTTCATCCAAAAAGGAAAATTAGGCTGCGTTTTACTCACCCCCGAGGTATCCTAGGTGTATATGACTTTCTTCTTTCAGACGAATCCAGTCGGAGTTATATTAAAAATTGTCTTTGATCTTTCAAGCTGTTTAATGCCACTCAGCGGGTGTTGCATACATCAGTCCAGAAGAAGTTAAATAAAAAGCGCCCATCCATAAAAATAAGTGTCTCACACGGCTCCGGGGGGTGAACAATAGGCCTTCTGTAGCGAATCGATGCGTTTTTGTAAGAAAAATATCCATATTCAAAACGGAATAATCACTTTAATGTAGTTCAGCGTTGCGCATTCGCCGGAGAGTCTCGTGAAAACCAACATATGTTAACAGGAGCAAAGGAAGCAAAGTTTCCTTACTTTAGCAAAGTAATGTAATTCTTAACTGCAGACACCGGTTGAAAAGCATTTGTTTCAGTTGTAATGCAGAACAGAACATTTTTATTCACAAACATGTCTGTATTTGTACAAATCGCTGCACAATAATTTAATCCTGAATTGAATCTCAAATTGAAAGGCATTTGTTTGTGGTTAGTAAGATACATGTATAAAATGTATGCAGTACATGGATAATTGTGCGTGCATCTATTAATCATTTTGAGTCTAATATCATCCCATACTAAAGCAGAAAAAGAAGGTACAACAGTTACTGTAGCTTTAATTATTATGTGCTTATAGCCTGGAATGGATGGAGGAACAGTAAAGCCTTTACGCTGGATTAAACAGCTCTTAACACTTATATTAACTGGCACTAATAAGCTGTTGGATCTGTAGTTCCCATACATTAAAAATATATAAGGTTTTTTATTATGACATTACTTTTTGACGACACAAACACATTCCTGCTTAAGTGCCCCCACATATAGGCCTATATATATATATATACACAATTACTGATAATAATGAGACTATAATGAAAATAACCAACAATTATGAAAATCAAAAATGAGACAAGTAAGCTATGTGGTTTGAAGTGTAATATCAGATGAGTGTAATAATGAAGTGTAATAGTCAGTTGAGATTCATATTGTACAATTTTACAATAATGCAAAAAAAGTGCATGTTCGTCTTTTACTAATTTTAAAACCAAGATTACACTTCAAAACTCGTATATGTGTGTGTGTGCATATTGCGTTCTTTTTGACCTTTTATAAGAAAGATAACATATATATAGGGTTATATGAATCAAAGATGAATCTTACTTTTTTGTAAGTATTTTAATGTACATTAATGATCTGTACATTCATGATTCTTATGTAATTAAAGAATGGTTGTTACAGTTACATAAAAAAATGGAAGAATATTACTATATGCAAAAACACAACAACCAGTGTTTAAATCAGAAAAATCAGCATTTACCTGTTTGAGGATGTCCTGAGCGCTACAGGAAAGTCTTCACAGCAGCATGAGATGCAGTTTCAGAGTTCACCGAGTGAAGAAGTGAGTTCGTGGAGAGATCAGGCCGTCGCTCTGTATAAGCACTATCATGTGAGGATCTTCTGTTTGCCAGAGCAGAGCTGATGAGCTGAAGGAGCGCAGCGCTTCTGTGTTTCTCTCTCCACTGCAGCTCACGGCTTACATTCAGAGCTCCGACTGATGTTCAGAAAAAATGTCCACGAAGGGAATTCACATGGAAAGGCTGTGGCTAAATAGCCTCTTTTTAACTCTCTCTCTGCCTGAGGGAATCCTCACACAGCTCTGACAGAGAACACAAGGCCAAAAACTAACACGGCACATTGAATTTGACAACCGAGAGGCTCTTTAAAGCACTAAACCAACAGCAGGCCACAATCCCAACACAGCATGAATGCAATGAAAGCAAAGCTCTTACCAGAGCGCATGTTTCCCCATTTACACACGCTTCAGATTTAACATTCAACCAGTAAGTTGCCAGGTTGATCTGTAATTATGGAGAATGACTGTAATAGCTCTGCAGAGCTTAATGACTGACAGGAGTCAGTGTACAGTTTGCCATGAACACACTCCTATTCTTGCTGATAGCAACTTTTCCATGTGTAAAGTAGGACAAAAATGGACTTACTTTGAAACTAATTTTAACTAAGAAATTGCTATTTTACAAATAATTACGAAGGAACTGCATATATATATAATGTTTAAATAGCAATTTCTTGTAAAACGTACTCCAGTAATCGGTTTTATTTACAACTGTATAAATCGATCTAGTATATAATATACAGTATGGGTGCCGATTACATTGTAAACTCTGCTATTATATCTACATACACCTCTGAAGTCTCTGTTCTCATGTAAGAGTCACTGTGGATTACATGGAAATTCCTTCAAAGTAGATTTATAATAATAAGCTCCAACAGTCAAATACCTCAAAAATCCCTTCTATACTGCACCAAATATCCTAAAGTAGGCTACAGCATGACTGAATGACTTCTACATGAGGAAATAATGATTTAAAAAAAAAAGTCTCACAGGAGCTCAGTAGTTTTATTTAAACTCAAAATGAGGATTATATTATCATTGCTTTTAATTCCACCTCAGGACATGTATAAGGAGGGTGTGTTTTTGGTGTATTATGTCCTGTGCTCTGGGTTTAAACAGAAGCCTGATAATCTCAAACAGATTGCTGTCCTGCTGCAGGGTCGTTTGATAAGTGTTTGCACACATCTCTCAGGGTGTGTAACGTACCAGACCACCTGACCAGACCGCTTGCTTTCATAGAAACCAGGGGTTTCCACCTGTGCAAACCCAGCAAACCAACAATAAAGATCCCCAGTACTTTATAACATTTCATCAAGTATCTTTATTGCATTAAATGCTGCCGTAGCATCCTCTATCCCAGATTCGGCTATGACAAGGCTTGTGAATACTGGTATTCTACCACCCCCTATACATCTTGAGAACAGATTTGAAGCATTAATGAATGTGGGTGAGGAATCCCCAAATGTGATTAAACATGGATCGGATCAGCCAGCAGCTAACATCGCTACTAACAGACGCTCAAGGTCGAGCAGACAGCGGCTTTCAGCTCAGAGCGCAGCCGAGCCCAGGACTCTGATAGTGGGCGACTCCATTACTATGGTAGAAACATTTTAGGTTTTACAGACTTAGCTTAAATTCACAATACAAAACCCTATTTCTTTAACTGATGTAATGTTAATAAACCAGCATATTGAAGTGTTAATATCTGTTTTAAACCATTGAAATACTGATAACCACCAAAAACAGGTGATGAGAAAGTCACATGATGATTCAAAGCTCATCACAATCAGCTTTTCCAACTAATGTACACAACTGATAAGAAAAATAAGAAGAAACAAGTTATTTAAACGAAAAACAAAACATGAAGTGTCCTGCAGGGAATTCTGGGAGTGTCAATTTACAGTTTTTCCACTGTAAATTATACAATCACTTTTTCGTTTTCATCTCAGTTACAGTATTTTACTGTAAAATGTAATTACAGTTATTCACTGTATATAGTATGGAAACTTACTGATAACCAATTAACAGGTTTTTATTGTAGCCTTTTTACAGTCTTTTACGGTTAAAATCACAATCATTTTTTACAGCGTAGCACATGCACACCAAAGTCCATTTTTGCGTATCAATACGAGTTTTAATTTTTATTTGGCATACTATTTATACACACTTTCATGAGATCGGGTTGTTTTATGAACACTCGCATACACAACTGCTTTTGATACCAAATGCAACTTTTAGACAACAAACGCTTTTTTAGACGAGCTGTAATATCCAACTTATTTGTCAGACTCGCAACAACGTCCGCCCGCTTGACGATATCTGAAAGCCAAAACCAATGAAATGGCTTCGCATGTTCCCGCCGGTCAGTCTCTGTGCAGCATTATAACCTCCAGTCCACCAGGGGCCGGCGCAGAGGCGCCACAGTCGACAGCGTAACAGGGAGGAACAGAAGGAGGTCAGCGAGTGTGCGTTTCTCTGCATGGGCGTCTTTGGTAACTGGGAACATACAACTTTACGGCAAATGTTTAAATCACAGAAGAGATGAATTTCCTAATTTCAATAAAAGCTGGACACTGGAAGGAAGGTCGAGTCCTCTGTGTTCTGTTGCAACACTTGGAAAATGTGTGGTAAAGACACGAGAAAGATGGAAAAAGACCCGAGGAATATGAGCGGATGCCATGTGGCGAGAACAAACCGGCCCTTCCGATTCTCTCTGCTTGTGTGGATCCTGAGGAGAGACAAAGACAGGTTAACTTAACCTACTAGACTTACTTTAAAGCACACTGGCTAGTTATTGTTCCAGGAAATCCTTCATAAACATGGGAATTTCCTTGCATTACCTTGGTTACAGCATTACGGTGCATCTCTGCTGGTGTCCAGACTGGCATCAAGGAGAAGCTCCTCTAAATCCTGCCCACAGCTCAGCTCTGCGGTCAAGCTCACTGACACACACACACACACACAAGAATCATATCACATATAGTCTTTGTGCTTTCACTATATTCATAAAGTCCTGTTCACAGCTCAGTCCAATACGAGTAAATGATGCAAAAGCATCAATATTTCACCAATGTTTGAGCTCAGAGTATGAGTTGCATGTGATAAGATGAGACAAACTAAAGTAAACACCTGATCAAACCCACACAAATGTTCAGCACAGAGATTTTAAACATGTTTATTACACCTAACATTAGCCTTGGTGTGAACATGCATTAACAGTAAGAAAACCCTTCTTTCTATTTAATTGTCTACGCAAGCTGCACGCAAAAAACATACAACGTGACCAGCATAGTCTGATTCACCAGAAATCAGGAATGAGTATATATTGTTTCAATAATAACCTAGAAAGACTCAAATTAAAGTGTTATTGTTTTGCATCTTCCACTGAATGAACAGCTTCTGAGCAAACTCACTTAATTTCAATACAAATTCAGGTGTTACTGGTTTGAATTGGCCAGATGAATCTTCAAATGATTGAACTCTGAATGAACTTCTCTGAATGAAACATGACTCACTATATAAACTGCAAGTTATTATTACTTTCAGTGATGTCTGCTTTGAAATCAAGTGAGTGCGCAGTAGATTTATTCCATAATAAATTATATATGTTTTTTTTTTCCATGAATCACTCAGAAAGACTCACAAATTCAGGTGTTATTGGTTTGAATCAGCTTGATGAATCTTCTGATTAAAAAATGATTCAAATAATGACCTGCATGTTACCGTTACTTGATATCAGTCTCGAAATGAAATGCGCCGTTAAATATACAAAATTGCAATAGTGATTTTTTAAAAATAAATCATATAGAGAACATGAGCGAGTTCACGAATCACTCAAAGACTCAGGCATTATTGGTTTGCATCAGCCGGTTGAATCATTCAAATGAATGTGTTGAACACGGCAGGATCTACTTGGGACATTGTTCCTCCTGACCTCATGACAATCTCCTTCACTCTAGTATACCAGTAGAGTGAAGCATCGGCCAAACCATACACACACTCAAGCTTCCATAGTTTTCCTTCATTGTTGGCCTCAGGAGGAGGTTTGATATAAAGGTCACGGGACAGCTCCATTCCCTGTAGAAATGGAGTTAAGTGTCCACTGTCTTTGACAAATCACTGCCACAAGAAGCCGAAGAGACTCAGTTTTGCATCTTCCACTGAATGAACAGCTTCTGAGCAAACTCACTTAATTTCAATACAAATTCAGGTGTTACTGGTTTGAATTGGCCAGATGAATCTTCAAATGATTGAACTCTGAATGAACTTCTCTGAATGAAACATGACTCACTATAGAAACTGCAAGTTATTATTACTTTCAGTGATGTCTGCTTTGAAATCAAGTGAGTGCGCAGTAGATACACATTTACAACAGATTTATTCCATAATAAATGATATATGTTTTTTTTTTTCCATGAATCACTCAGAAAGACTCACAAATTCAGGTGTTATTGGTTTGCATCAGCCGGTTGAATCATTCAAATGAATGTGTTGAACACGGCAGGATCTACTTGGGACATTGTTCCTCCTGACCTCATGACAATCTCCTTCACTCTAGTATACCAGTAGAGTGAAGCATCGGCCAAACCATACACACACTCAAGCTTCCATAGTTTTCCTTCATTGTTGGCCTCAGGAGGAGGTTTGATATAAAGGTCACGGGACAGCTCCATTCCCTGTAGAAATGGAGTTAAGTGTCCACTGTCTTTGACAAATCACTGCCACAAGAAGCCGAAGAGACTCTGAAGCACATGTTGGTGAGTCCTTTTTGAGTTCTGACACCTCTAGCTCTTCGAAACCTCTAGCAACAAGACGAGCTTTGGGTACAAACCCCTTCATTGTCTCCTAATTGAAATGCACTTTTGTCCCTCATCCTTCACTTCTTCAAAGACATGGTTGTCTCTCCAACTCTTTATCTCTTCCTGTTTTGCAAAGTCAAATGTTACATCTTTTGTTTCATACACATCCTCACATACATCGATGGAGTCAGCATTAGTAACAGTGGATTCAATCTGAAGATTCTCAACATTCAACATGTCAACAGACTCCGTACTGCCTGCAACATTAGTGGGCTCAATGAGCAACAGGTTAAACCAGTTTTTATATTTACCTGTAGTTTTACCTGCACGCCCTAAGATTTTAGCTGTACACAAAACACCTTTTTCTTTATCAGTGTCCACTGTCTTTGACAAATCACTGCCACAAGAAGCCGAAGAGACTCTGAAGCACATGTTGGTGAGTCCTTTTTGAGTTCTGACACCTCTAGCTCTTCGAAACCTCTAGCAACAAGACGAGCTTTGGGTACAAACCCCTTCATTGTCTCCTAATTGAAATGCACTTTTGTCCCTCATCCTTCACTTCTTCAAAGACATGGTTGTCTCTCCAACTCTTTATCTCTTCCTGTTTTGCAAAGTCAAATGTTACATCTTTTGTTTCATACACATCCTCACATACATCAATGGAGTCAGCATTAGTAACAGTGGATTCAATCTGAAGATTCTCAACATTCAACATGTCAACAGACTCCGTACTGCCTGCAACATTAGTGGGCTCAATGAGCAACAGGTTAAACCAGTTTTTATATTTACCTGTAGTTTTACCTGCACGCCCTAAGATTTTAGCTGTACACAAAACACCTTTTTCTTTATCTCTGTATTTTACAATTTGTTCTTTTTGTAAGCTGACAACAGTTTCCAGGTTAGTACCACTAGGTGTCTCTGTATTGTCACTTGTGTGCCATTCTGCTTCATTCTGCCCCCTTGTGTCCTCCATTTGCCTAAGATTCTCAACATTCAACATGTCAACAGACTCCGTACTGCCTCAATGAGCAACAGGTTAAACCAGTTTTTATATTTACCTGTAGTTTTACCTGCACGCCCTAAGATTTTAGCTGTACACAAAACACCCTTTTCTTTATCTCTGTATTTTACAATTTGTTCTTTTTGTAAGCTGACAACAGTTTCCAGGTTAGTACCACTAGGTGTCTCTGTATTGTCACTTGTGTGCCATTCTGCTTCATTCTGCCCCCTTGTGTCCTCCATTTGCCTCACCTCTTGTTGCACCTTAGCCTCGGTTTCTTCTGTCAACTGTCTGTTACTTTCAGCAAACTCCTGTCCTTGTTCACTGTGTGTGTCATTTTCTACGTCAGTCTTTGTGGCATGTTGATCCTCGCTTTCTGTATTCACTTTTCTCAGTCTGAGATGATGTACCCTAATGCAAGTCCGTCCATGTCTCACAAATACCACTGCTCCATCCTGACCAATGACCGTTCCTGGTCCTTTCCACTCTGGACAATCCACTCTCTTGTAGTACTCTTTATTACCCATTTCATATTTCTCATCGGTGTGACGTAGTTGCTTTCGTAACGCTCTGCGAATTCTCTCTGAGCACTCTGCTTCCGTAAAAGCCTATCTTGATGCATGTGAAGCAGAAGTCCAAATTCCAACTTCATTCTTCCAACTTTCGTATGGCTTCCCCTCGTCAAAGGTTGGTGGGACTCTGTAATTGCTAGCCATCCTCTGCTACCAATGTTACTCATCAAAAGACAACTGTTTTAAACTTAATGGAAAACTCCCTTTATTCGACTGCAACCATAGCCGTTCCCAACAACATAACACCGGAAGCAGCGATCCCCCCCCCATAAGAGTCCTTACTTCCTCTCAGTGTACTATATGCAAACTTACATTCAGAACCCTAGGCAGATAGCACTGAAATATTACATGTATACAAAAATCAGATTGTATAACCATGACTGAAACTTAACAGAATGAACGTTTCTGAACAATCATAACTCACTTAACGAACTGCATGTTATCATTCCTTCAAGTGACATCCATCTTGAAATGAATCAAGTGTAGTTAAATATGCAGCAGAGATTTTTCAGTAATAAATGACATTTTTTAAATAGAAAATGAGCCAGTTTTTCATGAATCACTCAGAAAGTCTCAAAGGTTTGAATCAGCCTAATATTTCTTACACTGAATGAACATTTTTAAATAAATATGACACTTGAACTGCATGTTGATATCATTACTTTCAGGGATGTCCAGCTCAAAATGTTTAGAGAAGGTATTCATACAAAAAAAATCATGTTTTTTTGTGCATAATATTGTCTGGGAATTAGGGCTGTCACTAATGGTTATTTTGGTAATCGGACGATTATTCTGACAACTAATCGAGTAATCAGATCTTTTTTTTTTGTGGAAATAAAAATAGACCCAAGCGAAAAATAGACTTTAAAACGACTTAAAATACTTATATAATAGCAATGAGGTGATAAATCAAATCAAATATCAAACGCAAGTAATCATATGGTTCTATTTAGGGATGCACCGGAGCTCCTGTACTCGTTAAAATGTCCCGATACCAAACACCGATACCACACAGCATGTGTTAAATGCCATATTCAGACAATGAAACACCGACAACAGAACAACAGACAGCAGAATGGAGAACAGAGATTAAGGTGGTCTACGAAGTATATGTATGCAATAAATATAATGTTAAACATTCAGCTGATGTGCGTGAGCTGATAAGCAAAGCACGCTGAAGTGAATCTAGCAGCCTGTGTGAAATGCGCTAGTCTGTACTATTCTGCATCAGTACAGATACCTGCACGCGTTGCGCGTGTTTTGCTTGGTTCATGAGTGTTTCTGCATTATATGAGTGGCTGTGGAATATAAATCGCAGCACGTTTCAGATGAAAAAAACCGTGACCTCTATTTCTGAAAATATCACAGTTAGGAAATTTATAACGAGTGGTTCCCTGCATTATTACAACAAAGCGCGTGATTACAGTACTGAGCCGCTGCAATGGAGCAGCTCTAATGCTGTTAAATTACAGATGATGCACCACAGAGCAAAACAATGAACAGTGAAAGTAACAAAAACTTGTAAAATACATTTTAATGGGCATAATTAAGTGTGAAAATAACCAAAGATATCCTTTGTCCAGAGATATCCACAGTCAAACCAAAAATTATTCAGAGAACAGATATAATTTTTTATATTTTTTTACTAGTGGGTGCAGGACACTATAGTTCATTTATGTAAGTGAGGATAGCAAAATAAAGTAAACTGAGACAAATCATACCCAAAAATTCTTCATACAGTGGACTACCAGTAAAACTGATACAAATTTGGAACCAAGTCTGGGGAAAAATTTGGAACCGAGTCTGGGGAAAAACATTGAAGTTGAGGAGACTATAGGCTGTCATTGAGGCTAAGGGTTGCCCGACTAAGTATTGATATTGATAGTTGTGTAAATACTGTCATGCTAACAGCTGTCTAATTTTTGGTTGATTGTAATCCATTACATACCTTTCTATCAAAGTTATCTAACATTATCAAGCTGAATTTGTTCTGACACAGTTTAACTCTGAGTTCTTGTCATATTTTATTACCATTTTCTCAAATATAGCAAATAAACTGTGATAATGTGAGAAATGTTGAAGGTGTCTGAATAAATTTGGGTTTGACTATCTATTTGATAAATGAAGTTAACCAACTAACATTACACATACTCTTTTGGTTTCTGTAACCAATATTAAAAAAATTAACAAATGCAATAAAAATATTGGTATCGGTATTCTGTATCGGCAAGTACCAAAAATAAAAGTATCGGTATCGGACGAGTACTGGAAAAAGTGGTATCGGTGCATCCCTAGTTTTATTGAACAAAACAGTTAAAATATATTAGGCCTGGGCGATAAAACGGTATCGATGGTACACCTTCTTCGATATCGATAGAAACATTTTTCGATATAGCACATGATATAGGCACGTACTATGAGTGAAGCAGACAGCACACACAAACACGAACACATGCTGAAATGAGTGCTGCGCCTGCCTGTGACGAGGAGATTGTGAATAAATAATGAATATTAGTCGAATTTAAAATAAACATTTGCATTTGAATGTTAGGTGTGCATCAGTGGCACGCGAGATGTGGTGATGTAAGTGACGTTGTTGCATTTTAATGTTTTGTTCGTCGAGCCCACGAGACGCGCCGCTGCTGCATTATTCATTCAAAATATTAGAGAAATATAGAAGCTCAGTGCAGAGAACATCTTGAACGGGTTAAAACCGAAACCAAGCCATTCACACAGAACACATATTCAGAGCATTTTTTAGACGGACAATTATGACTGCTGCACTCACGTCTTACTCAAGAGATGTATAGAAAGTCATGCAAAGTTAAAACAGTTTAAACTTTTAGAAAACACGTCACAAATTTGTGGAGGTTTATTCCTTTTCACTGCGTCTCATATGTTTTTAAATGCAGTCTGTGTGATCGGCGCTTCGGCTCTTTGGATTAAGCAATGCATAAATACATGATGCTGTTTTGTTCATAATTGTTTATGCAATTTATGAAATTATATTTGATTTTTATGAGTTGATTTAGACGTAATGCACGTTTTTTTAGAGTTACTTCCTTGCGTTGACCATTTAAATGCGCTGCATTATTGTGCTCGTTGCGCCCTCGGGAGACAATTAGACCTATACAATAAAGACCTATTTAATCTGCATATGAAACATTAGAAATGAGATATGTTTAATTTTTATTGTGTTTAATTGTTAAAACAAAAAATATTTGAAAATAAATTGTGTTAATTATAAATAGTGGTTAAATAAAAAAAAAAATTATATTGCTTTTTGTTTTAAATAAGGTTATAAAAAATGTCAATAATTATCAATACCGAACGATATGAAACATTATATCATTGATAATATTTTTAGCTATATCGCCCAGCCCTAAAATACATAGTGAAATAAAACAATCTAATCATAACTTATGTACATTATGTACTATATCAAATGCCTGCAGAGGCGCCAACAGCCTGATTTTACACTTTACAGTGCAATCTAATTTTTGTTTAATATTGACTAAACTTTTAATTCAAATGTCCACAATCTTTAATATTTGGCCACTTCTTTATGATAGAAATATTACAGCCGCTGTCATTTCTTGAACAAGAATGTGTGGACATCAAAGCATGCAGGACATCAAACTCAGAGCGAGGGTTTAATCTTTTATTTTGAAGTCGCAATGAACAGTTCGCATATTTAGAAAGATAACAGTGTATTATCCTGTGCTGGCGTAGGTTTATAAATGATTTACCTTATAACTCTGATAGAATGGTGCACATTGTTCCAAGATGAACATATGAACATATCACAGCATATGCAGAAATAAATGGTTGTGTGGAGCAGCATTTACTGTGAACGGAGCCGATCTGAGATGCACGTAACCAGCACGCATAGAAATAAAGCGCATTTTAAACCCGCAGCGCATATATTTAGCCTATTTAATTGAATCGCAGCCTTTGTAAATTCACAATAGCACTATGCTTTATTTATGATTTCGGTCATGCTAATAATGCTTTTCATGGACTCTCGTCCATGGAATGCGCCACTTCCATTATTTTGCCGGTTAATCGACACATGCAAAATGCAATCGAGGATTATTTATAATCGAGTGCTCATATTTAATCAAGGAATCATGACAGCCCTAATGGGAATATTTTATTATGTCATTTAGTCGTATCAGAATTGGTGTGAACAGGTTTTTAGGAACAATGTAAATTAATCCAAATAAATGTGCTCCAATATTGTGGAATGATGGAGTTGAATATGAGGTAATCCAGCGTAACTCACCATGCTCCATAATGCAGCTGGCTGGTTTGGGTCCCTTGGGTTCGAGAAGGTGAAAGGCAAATTCTGGCTTCAGCCCGTTGGGCAGCGTTGCTCCCATGCTCCCAGCAGGATGACCTTTGTCTTCTTCCGTGGAGCTCACGTCAGGAGATCCCACTCGAGCACTGCAGTCTTCCTCCTCATCGAGGGCTTCGTGACCTGCTGTGACCTCCAGTGAAGGCTGCAGCTGAGCGGCCCGTTGCTGTTCACTAGATTGCACTTGTTTCTCTCCGTTATCAACTTCCTGCAGCTGTTCTGGACATGGTTCGGCTTTTGGGCTTAGCGTCTCATCCTGGGATTGTCCTGAAACTGATGGCTCTGTTTGGATGGAACTGGACTTCTGTTTCTGCTCGGTGTGAGGACAGAACGTCTGGTCCTTCTCGCTTACATTTTGCGTCTCTTGCGTTTTTTTTGTGTTTGTATTTACAGTCAACTGTTGCTTTAAGTGAGTCTGATCGACAAGGACGGCGTCCTTCAGGCTTTCAAATGGCGTAGCAGGATCCTGTGCGATTTCTGTCTGTGACTCCTTCAGGTTCTCCTGCTTATCCGCAAGTGAAGACATAGACGTGTTGAGCAGTTCAACAGGTGCTGGTGTTGTTTCTGCACATGATGTTAACGTGCTGAGCTCAGATGCTGTTGGTTTCTGCTCAAGCGGTTGTGAACGTGCATCAAAAGGTGCTTTTATATTAGTCTGTGTGCATGTTTGGCTCTGTGACGCCCCCTCGCTGACACCTTTCGCCAATACAGTCGTCTGTTGTTGCTCCGGAGGGCTTTCCACACGTGTTACCATAAAGATTTTGTGTCCTCTGCCGGGACTAGACACCGAAAAGCAGCGGCCAGGAGATGGTGGGGCTCTTGGGACAGCGCTAGCTTCGGTCACTGTAATTACCGCTGGAGATCCTGGTAGAGGAGGCATCGAGGGCACGGCCTTACAGGCGTTTATTGCAGGAATCGCTATGGGAGATGTGGTGTTCGCAGGAGTTTTCGGCTCATCGGCTGCATCCTCATCCTCTGTGTCCGAGTCAGAGTCGTCTTGTAGTGTCGGGTTTTGATCGTCGACCTCGTCTAATTTTTGGTTGATTGTAATCCATTACATACCTTTCTATCAAAGTTATCTAACATTATCAAGCTGAATTTGTTCTGACACAGTTTAACTCTGAGTTCTTGTCATATTTTATTACCATTTTCTAAAATATAGCAAATAAACTGTGATAATGTGAGAAATGTTGAAGGTGTCTGAATAAATTTGGGTTTGACTATCTATTTGATAAATGAAGTTAACCAACTAACATTACACATACTCTTTTGGTTTCTGTAACCAATATTAAAAAAATTAACAAATGCAATAAAAATATTGGTATCGGTATTCTGTATCGGCAAGTACCAAAAATAAAAGTATCGGTATCGGACGAGTACTGGAAAAAGTGGTATCGGTGCATCCCTAGTTTTATTGAACAAAACAGTTAAAATATATTAGGCCTGGGCGATAAAACGGTATCGATGGTACACCTTCTTCGATATCGATAGAAACATTTTTCGATATAGCACATGATATAGGCACATACTATGAGTGAAGCAGACAGCACACACAAACACGAACACATGCTGAAATGAGTGCTGCGCCTGCCTGTGATGAGGAGATTGTGAATAAATAATGAATATTAGTCGAATTTAAAATAAACATTTGCATTTGAATGTTAGGTGTGCATCAGTGGCACGCGAGATGTGGTGATGTAAGTGACGTTGTTGCATTTTAATGTTTTGTTCGTCGAGCCCACGAGACGCGCCGCTGCTGCATTATTCATTCAAAATATTAGAGAAATATAGAAGCTCAGTGCAGAGAACATCTTGAACGGGTTAAAACCGAAACCAAGCCATTCACACAGAACACATATTCAGAGCATTTTTTAGACGGACAATTATGACTGCTGCACTCACGTCTTACTCAAGAGATGTATAGAAAGTCATGCAAAGTTAAAACAGTTTAAACTTTTAGAAAACACGTCACAAATTTGTGGAGGTTTATTCCTTTTCACTGCGTCTCATATGTTTTTAAATGCAGTCTGTGTGATCGGCGCTTCGGCTCTTTGGATTAAGCAATGCATAAATACATGATGCTGTTTTGTTCATAATTGTTTATGCAATTTATGAAATTATATTTGATTTTTATGAGTTGATTTAGACGTAATGCACGTTTTTTTAGAGTTACTTCCTTGCGTTGACCATTTAAATGCGCTGCATTATTGTGCTCGTTGCGCCCTCGGGAGACAATTAGACCTATACAATAAAGACCTATTTAATCTGCATATGAAACATTAGAAATGAGATATGTTTAATTTTTATTGTGTTTAATTGTTAAAACAAAAAATATTTGAAAATAAATTGTGTTAATTATAAATAGTGGTTAAATAAAAAAAAAAATTATATTGCTTTTTGTTTTAAATAAGGTTATAAAAAATGTCAATAATTATCAATACCGAACGATATGAAACATTATATCATTGATAATATTTTTAGCTATATCGCCCAGCCCTAAAATACATAGTGAAATAAAACAATCTAATCATAACTTATGTACATTATGTACTATATCAAATGCCTGCAGAGGCGCCAACAGCCTGATTTTACACTTTACAGTGCAATCTAATTTTTGTTTAATATTGACTAAACTTTTAATTCAAATGTCCACAATCTTTAATATTTGGCCACTTCTTTATGATAGAAATACTACAGCCGCTGTCATTTCTTGAACAAGAATGTGTGGACATCAAAGCATGCAGGACATCAAACTCAGAGCGAGGGTTTAATCTTTTATTTTGAAGTCGCAATAAACAGTTCGCATATTTAGAAAGATAACAGTGTATTATCCTGTGCTGGCGTAGGTTTATAAATGATTTACCTTATAACTCTGATAGAATGGTGCACATTGTTCCAAGATGAACATATGAACATATCACAGCATATGCAGAAATAAATGGTTGTGTGGAGCAGCATTTACTGTGAACGGAGCCGATCTGAGATGCACGTAACCAGCACGCATAGAAATAAAGCGCATTTTAAACCCGCAGCGCATATATTTAGCCTATTTAATTGAATCGCAGCCTTTGTAAATTCACAATAGCACTATGCTTTATTTATGATTTCGGTCATGCTAATAATGCTTTTCATGGACTCTCGTCCATGGAATGCGCCACTTCCATTATTTTGCCGGTTAATCGACACATGCAAAATGCAATCGAGGATTATTTATAATCGAGTGCTCATATTTAATCAAGGAATCATGACAGCCCTAATGGGAATATTTTATTATGTCATTTAGTCGTATCAGAATTGGTGTGAACAGGTTTTTAGGAACAATGTAAATTAATCCAAATAAATGTGCTCCAATATTGTGGAATGATGGAGTTGAATATGAGGTAATCCAGCGTAACTCACCATGCTCCATAATGCAGCTGGCTGGTTTGGGTCCCTTGGGTTCGAGAAGGTGAAAGGCAAATTCTGGCTTCAGCCCGTTGGGCAGCGTTGCTCCCATGCTCCCAGCAGGATGACCTTTGTCTTCTTCCGTGGAGCTCACGTCAGGAGATCCCACTCGAGCACTGCAGTCTTCCTCCTCATCGAGGGCTTCGTGACCTGCTGTGACCTCCAGTGAAGGCTGCAGCTGAGCGGCCCGTTGCTGTTCACTAGATTGCACTTGTTTCTCTCCGTTATCAACTTCCTGCAGCTGTTCTGGACATGGTTCGGCTTTTGGGCTTAGCGTCTCATCCTGGGATTGTCCTGAAACTGATGGCTCTGTTTGGATGGAACTGGACTTCTGTTTCTGCTCGGTGTGAGGACAGAACGTCTGGTCCTTCTCGCTTACATTTTGCGTCTCTTGCGTTTTTTTTGTGTTTGTATTTACAGTCAACTGTTGCTTTAAGTGAGTCTGATCGACAAGGACGGCGTCCTTCAGGCTTTCAAATGGCGTAGCAGGATCCTGTGCGATTTCTGTCTGTGACTCCTTCAGGTTCTCCTGCTTATCCGCAAGTGAAGACATAGACGTGTTGAGCAGTTCAACAGGTGCTGGTGTTGTTTCTGCACATGCGTTTTTTTTGTGTTTGTATTTACAGTCAACTGTTGCTTTAAGTGAGTCTGATCGACAAGGACGGCGTCCTTCAGGCTTTCAAATGGCGTAGCAGGATCCTGTGCGATTTCTGTCTGTGACTCCTTCAGGTTCTCCTGCTTATCCGCAAGTGAAGACATAGACGTGTTGAGCAGTTCAACAGGTGCTGGTGTTGTTTCTGCACGTGATGTTAACGTGCTGAGCTCAGATGCTGTTGGTTTCTGCTCAAGCGGTTGTGAACGTGCATCAAAAGGTGCTTTTATATTAGTCTGTGTGCATGTTTGGCTCTGTGACGCCCCCTCGCTGACACCTTTCGCCAATACAGTCGTCTGTTGTTGCTCCGGAGGGCTTTCCACACGTGTTACCATAAAGATTTTGTGTCCTCTGCCGGGACTAGACACCGAAAAGCAGCGGCCAGGAGATGGTGGGGCTCTTGGGACAGCGCTAGCTTCGGTCACTGTAATTACCGCTGGAGATCCTGGTAGAGGAGGCATCGAGGGCACGGCCTTACAGGCGTTTATTGCAGGAATCGCTATGGGAGATGTGGTGTTCGCAGGAGTTTTCGGCTCATCGGCTGCATCCTCATCCTCTGTGTCCGAGTCAGAGTCGTCTTGTAGTGTCGGGTTTTGATCGTCGACCTCTTGGCTCTCAGATGCACTGCCCTCATCGGTGGTGTTTTCTTCCTCGCTTTTCTCAGCAGATGCATCTTCATCCTCTTGAGTTTGGTCCTCCATGGCGATTTCGGCTATTGAAATCGACTGCCTCATCTTCTGTTCCGTCTCTTCCTTCTCTTTGGCCAGGATGAAGTTCCTCTTGCAGCCGTTCTGAATGTCTGAAAGCAGGGCACGCTGTGTCTCAATGAAACACTTCACCTGTGAGAGCAGCGATAGAAAAAAGATGTGGTATAGTAATGCAATAAAAAGGTCATAGATGCATCTGTGGTATATAATTAAGTGTAGTTAGTGAAAAAGATAGACTGCATTTATTTGATCCAATATACAGTAAAAACAATAATATTGTTAAATAGTATTACAATTTAAAATACAATTTTTCTATGTGAATATATAGTAAAATGTAATGTATTTCTGTGATGCGCAGCTGTATTTTCAGCATCATTCCTCCAGTCTTCAGTGTCACATGATCTTCAGAAATCAGTATAATATGCTGCTTTGCTGCTCGAGAAACATTTCTGATTATTATCAATCTTGAAAACAGTTGTGCTGCTTCATATTTTTGTGGAAACTGTGATACACCTTATTTTTCATGATTATTAAAAACAAAATAAAAAATCTTACTGACCCCAAACTTTTGAACGGTAGTGTATATATAACTTCCACTGTTTTTTTTTCCCACTTGAATTTAGTAATATATTAATATAGAACATTTAATTAGAATATATTTGCACTGATATAACATTATACTGTAACAAACAGCAATATTTACCCGTATATCTCAAAAACATTTAAATATATGAAGAATGAAATATAGTTTTAAATCGGTCTCAGAGAACTCAAATAAATGAACAGAACTTACTACATCTAACACTGTTTTAGCTTTAAATACAGGCAGTTGTACTTATATTAAGTTAAATCTTTTCCCCTTCCAATTTAACAAACACTCACCGTCTCTTTCTTGGGCTCTCGGTCCAGGTCGAGTCGGAGCAGCGACGAGTTGACCTTAAAGGCGAGCGAGAGAGCCATGAGGCCTCCGGTCTTGATTTCATTCTCCCGCATGTCCAGCCGGAGGATCCTCGGACTCTCAGCGATGAATTCAGCGATAGCGACCGCTCCTATCATATGAACAAACACACCGATAATATGAGCTTCACACAAGCTGAGCCCAAAATTCAACATCAAATTCATTATGTTTATATGTACAGTAACTTCTCGCTTCATTCCAGATCTCACCTTCACAGGAGAGTTTGGTGGAGGCCAGACCCAGCCTGAGGATGGACCGGTTTGCTATGAGTCCGTCTTTTAGTTTGTGCACTCCTTCGTTCCCCACTGCGTTGTGGCCCAGGTTCAGTGTTTCCAAGCTCTGAGTGAACGGCTACAGCAACAGAGAAAAATAAACTGAAAGTGCATTAACCGTCAAAGACAAGCAGTGTGTTTATGATTATTCTGCAAAGGGATCTGACCGTCTTTTTCTGTGAGGGGTGTGAATACAAGTGCAGACGATGCTTTACAACCACAGAACCTGTTTTGAAGACCAGCACAGACTGCAGTGCATTAGCAGACAAGACTGAGAATGTGTGTGCGTTTTGTCCTTAATTAACAAAAAGGCAGCAGGACACACATAAACACGAGCGTTGCACTGTCAGCAGCTGGCAGACACACACAGCATCCTCTCAATCTCCATAATGACCATCTGACTGAATGGGGCCGAGCTCTCGTCTTAATCTCATGCGCTCATGCTCTGTATTTTGGGCCATTACACAAGGAGGCATAAGAGGCTACTGTTTTGTTGTATGTACACCACCGTTCACTACCAACGCTGAACACTGCCAGACGTGGCGCGCCATATATATAATTATAATTATTATTATTATTATTATTATTATATGTAGCCTATAATATCAGTGCATCCCTACTTACATCCCCTCCTTGTTTACAAATCCGAAGTAAGTCCATACATCCGATTTAAATGCGGACAGGGCTTTCCTGATAACTTTCCGCGATGCCGCCCTCTTTATTTTACTAACTTACTGCATGCTGAAGGTGACCCAGCTGACCTCACCAGAAAAAATTATTCCTTTTCACTGCGTCTCTTATGTTTTTAAATGCAGTCTGTGTGATCGGTGCTTCGGCTCTTTGGATTAAGCAATGCATAAATACATGATACTGTTTTGTTAATAATTGTTTATGCAATTTACGAAATTATATTTGATTTTTATGAGTTAATTTACGTAATGCACGTTTTTTTTATAGAGTTACTTCCTTGCGCTGACAATTTAAATGCGCTGCATTATTTTGTTCATTGCGCCCTCCTGTGGCCTCGGGAAACAAGCTAAAAGTTTCCTCAAGACCTATTTAATCTGCATATGAAACATTAGAAATGAGATATGTTTAATTTTTATTGTGTTTAATTGTTAAAACAAAAAATATTTGAAAATAAATTGTGTTAATTATAAATAGTGGTTAAATAAAAAAAAAAATTATATTGCTTTTTGTTTTAAATAAGGTTATAAAAAATGTCAATAATTATCAATACCGAACGATATGAAACATTATATCATTGATAATATTTTTAGCTATATCGCCCAGCCCTAAAATACATAGTGAAATAAAACAATCTAATCATAACTTATGTACATTATGTACTATATCAAATGCCTGCAGAGGCGCCAACAGCCTGATTTTACACTTTACAGTGCAATCTAATTTTTGTTTAATATTGACTAAACTTTTAATTCAAATGTCCACAATCTTTAATATTTGGCCACTTCTTTATGATAGAAATACTACAGCCGCTGTCATTTCTTGAACAAGAATGTGTGGACATCAAAGCATGCAGGACATCAAACTCAGAGCGAGGGTTTAATCTTTTATTTTGAAGTCGCAATGAACAGTTCGCATATTTAGAAAGATAACAGTGTATTATCCTGTGCTGGCGTAGGTTTATAAATGATTTACCTTATAACTCTGATAGAATGGTGCACATTGTTCCAAGATGAACATATGAACATATCACAGCATATGCAGAAATAAATGGTTGTGTGGAGCAGCATTTACTGTGAACGGAGCCGATCTGAGATGCACGTAACCAGCACGCATAGAAATAAAGCGCATTTTAAACCCGCAGCGCATATATTTAGCCTATTTAATTGAATCGCAGCCTTTGTAAATTCACAATAGCACTATGCTTTATTTATGATTTCGGTCATGCTAATAATGCTTTTCATGGACTCTCGTCCATGGAATGCGCCACTTCCATTATTTTGCCGGTTAATCGACACATGCAAAATGCAATCGAGGATTATTTATAATCGAGTGCTCATATTTAATCAAGGAATCATGACAGCCCTAATGGGAATATTTTATTATGTCATTTAGTCGTATCAGAATTGGTGTGAACAGGTTTTTAGGAACAATGTAAATTAATCCAAATAAATGTGCTCCAATATTGTGGAATGATGGAGTTGAATATGAGGTAATCCAGCGTAACTCACCATGCTCCATAATGCAGCTGGCTGGTTTGGGTCCCTTGGGTTCGAGAAGGTGAAAGGCAAATTCTGGCTTCAGCCCGTTGGGCAGCGTTGCTCCCATGCTCCCAGCAGGATGACCTTTGTCTTCTTCCGTGGAGCTCACGTCAGGAGATCCCACTCGAGCACTGCAGTCTTCCTCCTCATCGAGGGCTTCGTGACCTGCTGTGACCTCCAGTGAAGGCTGCAGCTGAGCGGCCCGTTGCTGTTCACTAGATTGCACTTGTTTCTCTCCGTTATCAACTTCCTGCAGCTGTTCTGGACATGGTTCGGCTTTTGGGCTTAGCGTCTCATCCTGGGATTGTCCTGAAACTGATGGCTCTGTTTGGATGGAACTGGACTTCTGTTTCTGCTCGGTGTGAGGACAGAACGTCTGGTCCTTCTCGCTTACATTTTGCGTCTCTTGCGTTTTTTTTGTGTTTGTATTTACAGTCAACTGTTGCTTTAAGTGAGTCTGATCGACAAGGACGGCGTCCTTCAGGCTTTCAAATGGCGTAGCAGGATCCTGTGCGATTTCTGTCTGTGACTCCTTCAGGTTCTCCTGCTTATCCGCAAGTGAAGACATAGACGTGTTGAGCAGTTCAACAGGTGCTGGTGTTGTTTCTGCACGTGATGTTAACGTGCTGAGCTCAGATGCTGTTGGTTTCTGCTCAAGCGGTTGTGAACGTGCATCAAAAGGTGCTTTTATATTAGTCTGTGTGCATGTTTGGCTCTGTGACGCCCCCTCGCTGACACCTTTCGCCAATACAGTCGTCTGTTGTTGCTCCGGAGGGCTTTCCACACGTGTTACCATAAAGATTTTGTGTCCTCTGCCGGGACTAGACACCGAAAAGCAGCGGCCAGGAGATGGTGGGGCTCTTGGGACAGCGCTAGCTTCGGTCACTGTAATTACCGCTGGAGATCCTGGTAGAGGAGGCATCGAGGGCACGGCCTTACAGGCGTTTATTGCAGGAATCGCTATGGGAGATGTGGTGTTCGCAGGAGTTTTCGGCTCATCGGCTGCATCCTCATCCTCCGTGTCCGAGTCAGAGTCGTCTTGTAGTGTCGGGTTTTGATCGTCGACCTCTTGGCTCTCAGATGCACTGCCCTCATCGGTGGTGTTTTCTTCCTCGCTTTTCTCAGCAGATGCATCTTCATCCTCTTGAGTTTGGTCCTCCATGGCGATTTCGGCTATTGAAATCGACTGCCTCATCTTCTGTTCCGTCTCTTCCTTCTCTTTGGCCAGGATGAAGTTCCTCTTGCAGCCGTTCTGAATGTCTGAAAGCAGGGCACGCTGTGTCTCAATGAAACACTTCACCTGTGAGAGCAGCGATAGAAAAAAGATGTGGTATAGTAATGCAATAAAAAGGTCATAGATGCATCTGTGGTATATAATTAAGTGTAGTTAGTGAAAAAGATAGACTGCATTTATTTGATCCAATATACAGTAAAAACAATAATATTGTTAAATAGTATTACAATTTAAAATACAATTTTTCTATGTGAATATATAGTAAAATGTAATGTATTTCTGTGATGCGCAGCTGTATTTTCAGCATCATTCCTCCAGTCTTCAGTGTCACATGATCTTCAGAAATCAGTATAATATGCTGCTTTGCTGCTCGAGAAACATTTCTGATTATTATCAATCTTGAAAACAGTTGTGCTGCTTCATATTTTTGTGGAAACTGTGATACACCTTATTTTTCATGATTATTAAAAACAAAATAAAAAATCTTACTGACCCCAAACTTTTGAACGGTAGTGTATATATAACTTCCACTGTTTTTTTTCCCACTTGAATTTAGTAATATATTAATATAGAACATTTAATTAGAATATATTTGCACTGATATAACATTATACTGTAACAAACAGCAATATTTACCCGTATATCTCAAAAACATTTAAATATATGAAGAATGAAACATAGTTTTAAATCGGTCTCAGAGAACTCAAATAAATGAACAGAACTTACTACATCTAACACTGTTTTAGCTTTAAATACAGGCAGTTGTACTTATATTAAGTTAAATCTTTTCCCCTTCCAATTTAACAAACACTCACCGTCTCTTTCTTGGGCTCTCGGTCCAGGTCGAGTCGGAGCAGCGACGAGTTGACCTTAAAGGCGAGCGAGAGAGCCATGAGGCCTCCGGTCTTGATTTCATTCTCCCGCATGTCCAGCCGGAGGATCCTCGGACTCTCAGCGATGAATTCAGCGATAGCGATCCCACTTGAATTTAGTAATATATTAATATAGAACATTTAATTAGAATATATTTGCACTGATATAACATTATACTGTAACAAACAGCAATATTTACCCGTATATCTCAAAAACATTTAAATATATGAAGAATGAAATATAGTTTTAAATCGGTCTCAGAGAACTCAAATAAATGAACAGAACTTACTACATCTAACACTGTTTTAGCTTTAAATACAGGCAGTTGTACTTATATTAAGTTAAATCTTTTCCCCTTCCAATTTAACAAACACTCACCGTCTCTTTCTTGGGCTCTCGGTCCAGGTCGAGTCGGAGCAGCGACGAGTTGACCTTAAAGGCGAGCGAGAGAGCCATGAGGCCTCCGGTCTTGATTTCATTCTCCCGCATGTCCAGCCGGAGGATCCTCGGACTCTCAGCGATGAATTCAGCGATAGCGACCGCTCCTATCATATGAACAAACACACCGATAATATGAGCTTCACACAAGCTGAGCCCAAAATTCAACATCAAATTCATTATGTTTATATGTACAGTAACTTCTCGCTTCATTCCAGATCTCACCTTCACAGGAGAGTTTGGTGGAGGCCAGACCCAGCCTGAGGATGGACCGGTTTGCTATGAGTCCGTCTTTTAGTTTGTGCACTCCTTCGTTCCCCACTGCGTTGTGGCCCAGGTTCAGTGTTTCCAAGCTCTGAGTGAACGGCTACAGCAACAGAGAAAAATAAACTGAAAGTGCATTAACCGTCAAAGACAAGCAGTGTGTTTATGATTATTCTGCAAAGGGATCTGACCGTCTTTTTCTGTGAGGGGTGTGAATACAAGTGCAGACGATGCTTTACAACCACAGAACCTGTTTTGAAGACCAGCACAGACTGCAGTGCATTAGCAGACAAGACTGAGAATGTGTGTGCGTTTTGTCCTTAATTAACAAAAAGGCAGCAGGACACACATAAACACGAGCGTTGCACTGTCAGCAGCTGGCAGACACACACAGCATCCTCTCAATCTCCATAATGACCATCTGACTGAATGGGGCCGAGCTCTCGTCTTAATCTCATGCGCTCATGCTCTGTATTTTGGGCCATTACACAAGGAGGCATAAGAGGCTACTGTTTTGTTGTATGTACACCACCGTTCACTACCAACGCTGAACACTGCCAGACGTGGCGCGCCATATATATAATTATAATTATTATTATTATTATTATTATTATTATTATTATATGTAGCCTATAATATCAGTGCATCCCTACTTACATCCCCTCCTTGTTTACAAATCCGAAGTAAGTCCATACATCCGATTTAAATGCGGACAGGGCTTTCCTGATAACTTTCCGCGATGCCGCCCTCTTTATTTTACTAACTTACTGCATGCTGAAGGTGACCCAGCTGACCTCACCAGAAAAAA